TCCTCCTCCTGCCCCTCCCCCTCCTCCCCCTCCTCCTCCTCCTCCTCCTCCCCCTCCTCCTCCTCCTCCTCCTCCTCTTCCTCCTCCTCCTCGTTCCTCTTCCTCCTCCTCCTCGTCCTCCTCCTCCTCCCCCTCCTCCTCCTCCTCCTCCTCCTCCTCCTCCTCCCCCTCCTCCTCCTCCTCCTCCTCCTCTTCCTCCTCCTCCTCCTTCCACAACGGCAAGGACAACCAAAGAAAACCAAATGAACAACCAAACAAACCAAAGAAGCCAAAGGGCTGGAGCCGAAAAACATAGAAAAACCAAAGGAAAAACCAAACAAACCAAAACAACCAACTATTCACAGACCTACCCTTCCCACCCCTGCGCTCCACCGAGAAGAGTGCCTTTTTTTCCTTAGGTTTTTGCTTAGTTTTCAATTCCAAGCCTTTGGCTTCTTTTTTTGTTTTCCTTTAGGTTTTTGTTATTTTCTGCAACACACCTGTTATTTCCATGGGTTTTCTGTTGTTTTTCCTTGCCGCTGTGGGAGGATGGAGGAGGGGAAGGGGGGATGAAGGCGGATGGGGAGGGAGGGGAAATGAAGAGGAGGAGGAAGAGGAGGAGGAGGCGGAGGAGGAGGAGGAGAAGGGCGAGGAGGAAGAGGAGGAGAAGGAGACGGAGGAACAGAATGAGGAGGAGGAGGAGGATAGCAGAGGTTTCACTGGTTCACGCCCGCTTTCATTTTCCAGGGGCCCCCTTTCACCCCGAAGCCTATATATGTATATGTGTATATATACATATATATCTATATATATATATATATATATATATATGTTTCTGACTGCGTGTATGTATTATGTTCACACATACACATGAAACGGACACATACACACGTATAGACGTACATGCACACACATACATACATTTCTGTATGTACGCAAATACTTCCTGGTAATCGTCCAGGGCTGCCGGATATTTTCCTGGGCTGACATAGTGGCTCTGAAGATCAAGTCGCGAACTCGCTCAGACTTCCAGGCGGCAACAGAGCTGAAGATCGGTTGGCGTCCCAGAAGCAAGTGGCTGTGGCTCTAATCTCCTCCTTCGCTGATCCTTTTCCGATCTTTGTAGCGCGTCGCTCTCCGCTGCTTGAGACGACGACATGAAGAGTACAACATCGGGATGAAACGAGTCGGGGATTCCTGAGGGCTGACGAATGTGGAGGACATAACGGGCGCCGCGGACGATCCAGAGCACCCCAGAAAGCTTTTGAGAGCGCTCCAGAGCGCTACAGGAACGATCTATCTTGTCCCTGGGCCTGCCCGACCGCTCGTCGCCGCCTTGGGCGACTTGCCCGAACCCTTGCCGCAAAGCGGGTTTGCGGCCGACTCTGGAGGAAGGGAAGGCGACAAATATACAAACTTTCGGAGGTCCGCGCGGACTGATTTTAGGTCGGGCATGTCCTCCTACAGGCGGATGTTGGAGGAAAAACAAAGAATAATCAAAAAATGCACAAACATAGTCCAAACATCGTCCCCAGACTTTTTTGTTTTTTATCAAAATACAAACTATTTTTGAATATTCCTCCTGTAGAGGGGCAGGCCCGACTTAAGACTAATTTGCGTTTATTCGGCGGCACGCCGAGTGGGCCCGGGGGGGAGGGGGGATGGCTTCCAAGAAACCTTCCCCTCCTCTGTACCCCGGCTCTCCAGCAGCCGTTCGGGACGATTCGAATACCCCCGGGAACGCCCTCGGCGAGGCGCAGCCGCTGGAAGGCGGCCCGGGCCTGGAGGGCCGCAAAGAACGGAGGAGACTGCGAGAGTGCCCGAAAACCTCGAGCCTCGTCCGAAAGTCTCGAGCCTCGCCCCGAAACCTCGGGCCCTGCCGTGCGGGTGGACTGTGACCCCCCTCGCAGCGTGGCCGCTCTGCGCCGCCCCCTCGTCTTCGAGCCTCCCTGGGTCTTGGGAAGGGGAGGCGACATAGATGTATATATGCTTGTGTCTGAATATATATATATATATATATATGTATATACATATATACACATTACACATGTTCACATATATATATATATAGCTATATACATGCACACGTATGTCTGCACGTTTGTATGTGCGTATGTATGTATGCATGTATGTATGTATGCATGCATACATGTATGTATATACGTGTATACATATATACAGGCATGCATGCATGTATGTATGTATGCATGCGTGAGCATATATATATATATATGTTTATGTACATGCATATGTATATGTATGTATACATGCATGTATGTATATATATAACATGCATGTGTACACATACAACATATGTACACACATATACATTCACATACACATATACAACTGTATACGTATATACATACATTTACACACACATATATATATATACATATATTCCTCTTCCTATATCTTTACAAGCCCGGGCGGGGGGGAAACGCGTCCCCCCCCCTCCCCCAAAACCGGACTCCCGGGATCTGGGGCTTTGGGACCCTTCGGACGGGCCTCGAAGCGGCCCCCCGGGCCTCGCAGGGCGTTTTGCCAAGCCTTCGCAGCACACCTAGGGCGATCAGGGGGGTCATCGGAGACGTCCCAGAGAACCCCAAGACAGCACAAGAGCGCTCCAAGAAGCCGTCATACCCCGAAAGATCGCTCCAAAACGTACCAAGAGGCCTCCAAGAGCACCCCCAAGAAGGCCCCAAGAGGGAATAGTCATCGATTTCATATAAGTTTTTGGTGAATTTCGGGTTCTCCTCTTTTCGGCTTCCCGACACTCCAAGACAGCGGTCTTCTGGGCGTCCGAAGTCGCCTGGGAGGTTCCAAAATCGCCCCGCAACCATCCGAAAGGGCTTCCAGGCAGTCCAAGAGAGCCCCAGAACGGCACAACAGGGGCGCAAAATGGCCCTAAGAGAGCCCCATGGCGGCCCAAGATGGCCCCAAGACGCCCTCCGAAGCATTCCAAATCGTGACCGGGGCGTTCAGGGAGACTGCGGTTAGAGGCAGGTTGGTCTTAGGAAGCCCCAGAGGCCCCCAGAACACGTCCAGGAGGCCTCCAGGAGGCTTTAAGAAAGCCTGAGAACTTTGGTGAGGCCCCCAGAGGCTCTCCAAGGAGGAGCCTCCGCAAAAAGAGCTGAGGAGGATGGGGAGAATACCCAGGGCATGGCGAGAATTAGGACAAATAAGCATGGAAGAGGGATAACGAACAACATTATTATAACGGCGATGCCAGAAAAGGCAGCAAAGAGTTATCGCACAATTGTCCGCTTGACCTTCCTGCCATGTCCGCCTGCATACCAATCTTCAAGGACCAAGGTGCATGGCGCGAAGCGCCACTGCAGTCTTGTGTGTGTATATCTCTCTCTCTCTCTCTCTGCCGGCGGAAAGGGATCGGGGCCGCCAGGCCGGTACCTGCGCCCCCCATGGCCGCTCCGGGGCTCCAGGAGCGCCCCTGTCCGGGCCAAGAGGCGGCCAAGACGTGTCCACGGAGGCACAAGTGGCCCCCAAACCGGTCCTCGACGGCCCTGGGGCGCTCAAAGATCGCCCCTGGACGCTCAAGATGGCTCCCATTGAGCCCAAGAAGCCGCTACGACGCCCCAAGTTGCTTTCCAAGAGAGCCCCAAGCGGCCAAAATCATTGATTTTTCATAGGAAAACGTGCATTTTTAGCATCTACGTCTTTTCGGTCTTCACGGCGTGCACGAGGGTACAAGAGGCCCCCACAACGGCCCCAAGGCGGCCCAAGAGGCTCCCAACTCGGCCCAAGAGGAGCCCAAGACAGCCCCAGAGGCGGCCAAGGCGTGCTCAAGAGGCGGCCAAGACGTGCCCACGGAGCCCCAAGAGGCTCCCAAATCGGTCAAAGACGGCCCCAGGGCTCTCAAAGATCGCCACTGGACACCCAAGATGGCTCCCATAGAGCCCAAGAGGCCGCTACGACGCCCCAAGAAGCTTTCCAAGGGAGCCCGAAGCGGCCAAAATCATTGATTTTACATGGGAAAACGCACATTTTTAGCATCTACGACTTTTCGGTCTTCACGGCGTGCGCGACGGTACAAGAGGCCCCAAAGACGGCCCCCAAAGGCTACCAACACGGCCCAAGACAGCCCGAGGGGCGGCCAAGGCGTGGCCAGAGGGCCCCATGAGGCTCCCAAAACGTTCCATGGCGGCCCCGGAGCGCTCAAAGCTAGCCCTTGGACGCCCAAGACGGTTCTCACAGTGCCCAAGAGACTGCGAAGACGTCCCAAGAGGCCCCCAAGAGGCTTTCCAAGAGGGTCCCAAGAGGCTTCCCAAGAGGGTCCCAAGGACGCTAAGCAGCGCGAGCGCTAAGGACGAGCTCTGTTGTGTTTGTTCGAGTCTCCCGTCGACCTTTTTTCGGAAGCGTTTCGACGAAATTTGACTCGATTTGTCCTCGACCTCGGCTAGAACCAAAGCGCGCGCGAAGCGCGCGCGATGGTTCTAGCATATATATATATATATATAAACGTACACGTATACATTTATATGTATGTATGTATGTATGTATGTTTGTATGTATGTAGGTAGGTAGGTAGGTAGGTAGGTAGGTAGGTAGATAGGTAGGTCTGTATGTATGTATGTATGTGTGTGTGTATATAGTGTATATAGTGTATATACACACACATATATATGTATGTATATATATATATATATATATATATATATACTTCCGGAGGCCCGCGCGGACCAATCTACGTTCCTTTTGCGGCACGCCGAGGGGAGCATGGGGGGAGGGGGCAGGCTTTCAAGAAGCCTTCCCCTAGGTCGGGCATGTCCGCCTTCAGGCGGATTTGGGAGGAAAAATTAAAAATAGTTCAAACATCACCAAGAATACTCTAAACTAGTCACAAAAGCGTCCCCGGACTTATTTTTGACTGCTTTTGAAGACTCCTCCTGTAGAGGGACACGCGCCCGACTTAAACCTTCCCCCCATGCCCCCGCGGCGCGTGGCCGATTTGTGTCGCTCCCTCTTCTTCGAGACTCTCCGCGCGCGCGCAGAGGAACGGCCTGGGGCGGACTCGGCCCTGCCGCGCTGGAGCACCCGCAGCGCCTCCACGTCCGCCAGCGAGCCGCCGAGGAAGGCCTCGCCAAGAGGGGGCGGCCAGCGTGCGCGCGCGCGCCGCCCCCTGCGCGAGCTAGGGTGGTGCTGGGACTGGCCCCCGCCCAGTGTGCTCTGAGCCTTTCGCGTCCTCTGGGGACTACGTGCGCCACGTGCATCTCCCATGCCAATCGTTTGTTGGGCGTCGTCGCTGCGAATCGGCAAGACCATGTTGTGGGGCACGGCCTCTGGATGGCCAATCCTCCGGGATTGCCAAATCTTCTGGGCTTGCCAAATCTTCTGGGATTGCCAGTCCTCTGGGATTGCCAATCCTCTGGGCCTCTGGGGCCCTGTGGGCCTCGCGAGGGGTGCCCTGGGGGCCGTGGGGCCTCCATGGGGATCCTTGGGACACTCGGGCGGGTGGTAATCATGGGTGACCTGAACGGGGGGTGAAGAGAAGGGTCCCAGAGGGCCCTTTAGGGCCCCTGCTGGCTCCGAAAGGGGCCCTTAATGGGTCCCTCCAGGGCCCTACTCTGCACCCCACATTTGGGTCACTCCTTTGGACGCCCGAAATGGGTACGGAAAACACGGGTACAATGCCCAACAACACATGTTGTCCCAAACCGACAGCGGCCGCTGTTGGGCAGGCGGCCTTCTGTCTCAAATGGACACAGGCCGCTGCGGCGAGGACAGCGAGCCCGTTCAGAATGAACAGGAACTCCTGTTGGGCATTGTACCCGTTCTTTCCGTTCCCATGTCGGGCGTCCAGATCTGAGACACCCTGGGCCAGGGACACCCCCGGCAACACCAGGCCAAAGGCGCTCCCTCGGCAGCCCCTGGGGCTCGAGGGAGGGGGCCTCGCACGCAGGGCTGCGGCTTCCCTGGGGGGCCCTCCACTGCGGGGCAACGACAGGGGGGGGACTGGCATAGGGGGGGGATGCATCGACCTGGAATCGGCGATACGTCGCCGATGGATCGGCGATAGGCCCCCGATAGTGAGTCCGCACCTTCCTGTGCAGGTTGAGGCTCTCGGGCTCCTATCGGCGATCACGGGGCGATTGGGGGCCGACGCATCCTCCCCTGTCGTTGCCCCTGATCCACGCCGCTCGCGGGCGGTACTCCGAGGAGGATCGAGGACGAAGACTGAGGATCGAGGAGCCCAGCGGGGATGGGGACCAGGCAAGCGATGCTCACGGGACACCCTGGGGGTCCGTCCTGGCCCGCCCTGTGAGGCGCATGCGGCCGTGGCGGCGAGAAGCCTCCAGTGGAGGCCCGGGGCAGGAAGTCGGGCGCCAGGGCGGGGCCGTCGCCGCAGGAGCTTCAATCCTGCCCCTGCCCCTGCCCCCCCCCCCCGAGCGTGCGTATGATCGGCCCGTGTCATTGTCCTCGACGTCGACATGCTGCCCAGAGCTCTTCAGGCTCCTGGCTGGCGTCCCACGATCAGCACGATCGGAACGGGTGCGGAAACAAGGGGCACGAAATCCAGCAGCGGCTCTTGCCCATATTGAACAGGATTCGCTGTCGGTGTTGCCGCGGACGTTGTCCGTTTGAGACGAAGTGTCGCCTGCCCAACAGCGGCTGCTGTCTGTTTTGGACAAAATTTGCTGCTGGGCATCGTACCCATTTTTCCGTACCCATGTCGGGTGTGCCAACACGACGCCCTGGCTGGGCTTGGCTTTTGCTCTTCCCGCTTGTTTCTGGCTGTTCCTGCTGTATGTTGCCGCGGGGCTCTGCCCGATTCGGCTGCTCAAGGCTGCTCCTGCTGTACCTGGCCGCCGAGAATTTTACCTGGCTCTGCGATTCCTGGCTGTTCCCAGCCACTGCTGTCACACCTGGCCGCTGCGGTGCTTGCGACGCCTCCCCTGGCGGTGTACCGTTTCACTCCACACGCTGGCCTCAAGCATGGTTCTTTCATATCGTCACCTTTCACGGGGTGACAGCATCGGGCATGCCGCACGCATCTGCGGGGCTCCCGGACACAATCCGAACTGTGGCCAACTTGACATGTTCAATGAAACGTCTGTCCCTCGACCAAGCTGCCTTCCCCTTGCCTGCCAGTGTGTGTGTGTGTGTGTGTGTGTGTGCGTGTTCAATGTGGTCCTGGAGGTGCGCGAATCTGCAGACGAACGCAACGGAGAGGCGATTGGAGGAGTCGTCTCAACTGCTCCAGAGCTCGTTCTGTAGCTCGGGGCGACACTGTTTTTTTCCGCCAAGTGGCGCGAACTGGGATCGACGCGTTGGCGAATGCAGACGCTAACGAGTGCAGCGCGCGGCGCTTGGGGCACCGCGCCGAGGGCCTCTTTGCGCCCGACTGTCCAGAACCACTAAGGACCTGTCCCGTGCGCCTGACTTCGAAACGTTTTTTTCCCCCCGACATCCTGAGTGGGGCTCTTGTTTCCTAGAACAGGTTTTCCACGAGAGCGATCACATCAGCATGGTGTTAGCTCGCATGGTGTGAGATCGACCAGCGCCTCGATCAGGTGCTTAAGCTTTAGCAGCTCCTTTTCCCTCAACTCGAATAGCACTCTTATATCATTATCTCCGTCTTGTTTTCCTGAAGCATCCTCTCCCAGACCATCCTTCTCCTTCTCCTTCTCCCGCCTCCTCCTCCTCCTCCTCCTCCTTCTCCTCTTCCCTCCTCGTGCAGTAAATCTTCCATCCTCCTGCATCCTCCACCCCCTCCTCGTTCTCTTCCCTCCTTCTTCCTCCGCCTTCGCCTCCTCCTCCTGGGAGGCTGCTTCCCCCTCCAAGGGGGGCCGCGTCTGACCGAACCCCTCCCCACCTGTCCAGCCCTCCCGCGACCACGCCTCCCCCTCCCCGGAAGCTGCCTCCCTGTCCAGGGAGGCCACGTCAGACCGAACGGGCCATGCGCAAGCCGTGCTGTCTATCCAGGATCGTGCCCTCCCCATAACCTCCTCTGGGGGTAGGAAGGGGGCGTGGTGTAAAGGGGTGTGTTGCCAATGCTGGATTTGACGAGGCTATCTATCGTAGATGCCATCGCCTGTCCCACGATTGGCACCACGCCCCTTTATGCCACGCCCCTTTCCGACCTCCGGCTGTCCCACGACCGCGCTTCCGCCTCCCGGGGGGCCGCTTCCCCCTCCAAGGGGGGCCGCGTCGGACCGCGCGGGCCATGCGAAAGCCGTGCTGTCTATCCAGGACCGTGCCCTCCCCACCGCCTCTCTGGTTGTCCCACGGTCAGTTGTTCGAGAACCGTCGGAGTCTCTTAGGATACTCTGGGGCTTCTCCTCCTCCTCCTCCTCCTCCTCCTCCTCCTCCTCCTCCCAGGAGGCCGCTCCCCCCACTGGGGCGGCCGCGTCGGACCGAGCGGGCTACATTATGCGCAGGCCGTGCCCTTCCCCCCCCTCACCGGCCTTTCCAAGCCCACGGGTCCCCCTCCCGGAAGGCTGTTTTCCCCCCTCCAGGGGGGCCGCGTCGGACCGAGCGCGCTGCGCGCGCAGAGCGTGCTATTTGTCAAGGGGCGTGCCCTCCGCACCTCTCCAACCTTCCCACGACCACTTGACCCAACGGGCCATGCGAATGCCGGGTTACGCAGCAGATTTCGTACCCCCCCTTCGCGCTTCAGCCTTCCCAGCACCGCGTTGCCCCTCCAAGGAGGCTTTGCTGGACGGCGCGGGCTATGGATACTGTGTTCTTTATCTCCTCCCGGCTGCTTCCCCTCGTTGCACTCGTCTCCCCTCCATGCGCATACGGTGGTGGCATTGGATAGGGAGCCCTTAGATCAGGAATCCAGGGTCTGGAGGCCGGTGGAACTCCAATCGAGGCTTGTCCATGGATATCATCGCCGCCCTCATCCGATAAGGAATCCTCCAGGGCCTGCAGCATCCTGGGCGCATTCTTTAACCAAAGCCCCCGCCGTATCTGAATGTTATGGGCCCTGTGGTGCTGCCGCTGTGCCCCGCTGATCCCGTGGAGCCCTTCGCACCGTTACACGGGGAACTCCGACAGCACAGCGTGTGCTCGCGCGACCGCACAGCCCGACACGAGTCGAAAGAGGTCGCCAGGCAAACGACCTGTCGCGTCGCAGCGCGGCAGGAGCAGTCCCCACGCACGCTCTCAGTAGCCCGGGGCGTGGCGTGCTAGCTGTCCAGCGGCACGAGGGGGCGGGGGGGGGAGGGAGGCGGATGGCGGCCGCAGAGAGAGGGCGGGGGAGGGAGGACGCTCCCCGCGCGAAGGGCTTCGGCAATTGCCGAGGCGTCCTGGCAGGAGGCGTGGGGCGGCACCGCGCCCACGCCAATGCGCCTGGGCGAAGGCTGCAGGCGCTGAAAGCGTTGGGGCAAGCCGCACCAGCACGGGGGGGGGGGGAGCGGCGAGCGAGCTCACCGAGGCCGGTAGCATCCGGGTGTTCGTCCAAGGGTCGCGGATGACAAGCACTGCTGCGGCACGGCGGCAGCGGGATGCAAGAAGGCCAGCGCCCACGGGGGCTGGCCAGCGATTCGCTCGCAGCAGCGAGGTGCTGCGAAACTGCCGTGCTGAGCCGCTGAGGACTGAGCCGCAGGACTGCTGGCTGCAACGCCACCGGGGGCGACAAGCAGGGCTGCCACGCTGGGGGCTGCTGAGCACGGCGCCACCTGCAAAGGTGGCACAGGCGGCGAGGAGCTGCCAGCCGCCGCCGGGCACGGCCAGGCAGCGGCAGGGCGGCGAGAGGCGGGAAGGGGCGAGCCGACCGGGGCTGGTGCACGCATCACAGCTCAAGGGGAAGCGATCGGGGGGAGGGACAGGCATACGGGGGGGACACGTAGGCCTGGGATCGGCGATACATCGCCGATAGATCGGCGATAGGCCCCCGATGGCGAATCCACCGTGTCTGGGCTGGGTGTGGTTATCGGGCCCCTATCGGCGATTTCTGGGCGACCGGGGTCGAGGCATCTCCCCCCCCCGTGCCTGTCCCCTCATATCGTTGCCCCCGACAACTGGGTGTGGCGGGAACGGCCAACCACAAGGCTGGCGGGGCGGGGGCGCCAGTCCCAGCACACGGCTTTCGCGTGCGGGTCGGCGCGCGGCGCGCGGCGCGAAGCAGCTTCCTCGCGCGACCGGGTAGCGTTCGCGCTCGCAAGGAAGGACTCGCACGCCGACCCGGCGATGGTCTCCGAATGCACGATCACGCGCGGGGGTCGGCTCGCGGCGTCATGCTGAGGCTTCCTGAGGCCTTCTCGGGTTTCCTGGGGCCTCCTCGGGCTGCCAAAGGGCCCCCTGGAGCTTCCTGGAGCGTCTGGGAGAGTTTGGGAGCGTCTGGGACGCTTGGGGAGCGGCTGGGGGTGCCTGGGGGTGCTTGGGCGCTCCTTGAACGTCTGAGAACGCTTTGAAGCTCCTCGGAACGCTTCTCCTAGGAAAGCCTACGAGCGTGCAGAAACGTCTGGGGGCGTCTGGGGGCGCCTGGTGCTTGAGAGCGCTTGGGCGCTCCTGGAACGTCTGGGAGCGCCTGGAAGTTTGGGGTCTCATGGGAGCGCATGCGAGCTCCTTGAGCCGCCTGAGGAGCGCCTGGAGCCACCGAGGAGCGCTTGGGCGCTCCTGGAGCGTCTGGAAACGCCTGGGAGCGCCTGAGGCCGCCTGGGGCCGTCTGGGGAGTGCCCAACGCTGTCTTGGTGCGTTTGAACGTTCCTGGAGCGTTTGGGAGTGTCTGGGGGCGTCTGGTAGCGTCTGGGAGCGCTTGGGACCGCATGCGGAACGCCTGGTGCCGCCTGGGAACGCTTGGGCGCTCCTGGAGCGTCTGGGAGCGCTGGGAAGCGCCTGGGAACGTCAGAAGCGCGGATCTGGCGGCTTTTGCCAGGGATCGCGGCCTCGGAGGCGCCGATCGTTTGTTTTTGAGAAGGAACCTTTAATCCGGGCAAATCTTTGGCCAGGCGCCGCTCGCCTTCTGGAACCTCCAAGCATGGATTTTGATCTCGTGGTGCCAGCGGGCGACACCAAAACTCCAAACTCGCAGGCGATCCAGAGACGGAACCATGAAAAGTGCTACGCACGAGGTGCGGAAGATGTTGCCAGCTCTCCGCGCCGCTCGGAGGCGGGCGAGCTAACTCTCGCCCGCCGACGTAATGCACTGTGGCACTGGGCTGAACGCTCCGACCACCAGTCGCTCGCTGCCTGACGACTGCTGGCCAGAGAGCGGATCCCCCCCTTGAGCCAGCCTCCCAGGAGAGCCAGCCTCCCGAACGGCGTGGGATACTTTGCAGCTGCTCCGGTCAGGAATGCCCCAAGCCCCAAGGACCCCTCGCGTCCTCAAAGAGGCAGCCGCTCTCTGCCCGCGCAACCGGTCTGCCTCAGCAACCAGTCATCTTTCTGGGCAGTGGCCAGCACTCGCCATCGCTCGGACGTCCATTCCCTGTGCCCTGTTTGGTCTCGCGCGTGCTTTTGTTTGCTTGTTTGCTTGCTTGTTTGTTTGTTTGTTTGCTTGCTTGTTTTTGCCAAGATGGTCAAACATGCTCCGAGATGGTGCAGATTTGCTGGCGCTTGCCCCGCCGAGAAAGAGCGCATTTGTTATACCCGCGGCCACCGCGGGCGTTCTAGGGAGGGGAGGGGGGGAGGGGGGGGGGGGGGCATCGCGTCCCCCCCCCACCTCCCCCAGACTGTGGTGCTGGACGCACTGCGGCAGGTGCCGGGGACGCACTGAATGGGGGGAGCGCTGCGATATGGGGGGGGGGGGTAGGGGGCATAGCGCGCGCTATGGCCCAGAGGGCCACGGCAAGACCGAGATGGCCAACTGGCCACAGAAGGGCCCCCGGGACTGGCCGGGCCGCCCGAGGCCGCCGGCAGAGAGGGGGGGAGGAGGAGGAGGAGGAGAGAGGAGGAAAAGGAGGAGGAGGAGGAGGAGGAGGAGGAGGAGGAGGAGGAGGAGAGGAGGAGGAGGAGGAGGAGGAGGAGGAGGAGGAGGAGGAGGAGGAGGAGGGAGGAGAGGAGAGGAGGAGGAGGAGGAGGAGGAGGAGGAGGAGGAGGAGGAGGAGGAGGAGGAGGAGGAGGAGGAGGAGAGGAGGAAGGAGGAGGAGGAGGAGGAGGAGGAGGAGGAGGAGGAGGAGGAAAGGTGGAGGAGGGAGGAGGAGGAGGAGGAGGAGGAGGAGGGAGGAGGAGGAGGAGGAGGAGGAGGAGGAGGAGGAGGAGGAGGAGGAGGAGGAGGAGGGAGGAGGAGGAGGAGAAGGAGAGGAGAAGAGGAGGAGGAGGAGGAGGAGGAGGAGGAGGAGGAGGAGGAGGAGGGGGAGGAGGAGGAGGAGGAGGAGGAGGAGGAGGGGGAGGAGGAGGGGGATGGATGGATGGCAATATGACGGTGTCATGTCAAAGCAAAGCGGCCTCCCCTGACCTCGAACAGGAACTGCACGGACCAGATGAGGAAGTGCAAACGAACGAGAAGCCCAAAATCATGTCGCCGATGGAGACGCCAGTGGTAACACAAGAAGACTCCGAGCAACAGACTTTGGATGAATACCTCAGCGAACACACTGTGCGCAAACCGACAAAACTGAGAAATGACCAACTCGATTCGGCGCAAAAGGGCAACCTCAAATTCCACTAGCAACAGCAAGAGGCTCCAAACAGAGATCGCCAGCCCCGTTCCCTGCTTCATTGGCCCAAACAGCGGCCACTTTCTTTCCTTCATGCCCACCAATGCACTGAACAGATTGATCTCACCCACTGAGACCAATCAGAACTTGAATTGAAATACCCTCCCCAGGCAGCTGTGGGAGACGACCACAAAGTAAATGACGGCGCCAGCACAGCACTGAAGAGAGCCCCATTGCAAAAGGATAGCTGAACACGTGGCAGCGCAGATGTCCCAAATAATTGAAGCCAGCCGAACTGCAAGAGCACCGTGCCCGAACAAAAGGTAACGACAACGTGAGCCCAAGTTTATTGAGCCTCCGTCTCAGCACCCGATGTCGGCTCTGTAGCAGAAAATGTGCAGCGCTCCGCAAACATCCACATGACAGCGGCATTGAGCTTGGCCCTCGGATGGATGCGTCTCGCAAGCTCGTCGGCACTATTGATGACGACCGTGTCCGCGCTGACTGCTGCGAGCTGCTCGTCCCAAACTCGCTCCACCTGATGATCCATGGCATGATCCCAGTATGAGGCGTAAGGTCCTGACCAATGACTCGTGCGACGAAACTCGTGATTGCGTGAAAGGAAAGGCGCTGGCTCCCTCGGAATGGCAGCGGCTCCCATAGCCCTGCAGACAGCAACTGCGCAGGAATGGCACATGGAACCGTCCCATTGAGCTGTGAAAGCAGCATGCCAGCGCCATGCAGTGGCTTGACAAACCAGTGCTTCTAAATTGAAGCTTCCGTCTCGTTCTAAATCGTTGCGAAGCTGAAACGGCCCATCCTGAGTGCCTCGCATGACCGAATCACTCCCGTGGCCGAGCGGGCGCAAGGCCGCCGTTGGGTTACTTTGTGTAGTCCCTTCCATGGGTCTGTAATTCGGGATCGGGCGTAATGGAGCCGTGAAGCTGGGCACCGCGGCGATCCGCATGCAGTCCGTGCGCCGTGCAATCTCTATGATCGTGGCGTTCGGAAGCTGACCATGGAGCGCCTCATATATGAGCTGATCGTAGAGAAGCCTGCGGGTCGTAGCGTCGATCTGTCTCTGACCAAGGTATCGACGCAAGAGACAATCGAGGTCATCGCGAAACGAGAGCGGCGGACAGACGCATGATACCACAACCGCAGTCGGCACCGCTGCAAGGGCTGACCCAAAAAGGTTAAGTCAATCTCGTTCTCGCACGCTGACCCCTAGTTCCCGCAGAGCTTGAGCATGGTGCTGTTCCAGTACACTGATGTCGACGTCTGATGCCTCCCAGTTCTCCAAGAGATTAGGATCCATAGCGCCGATGATCTGTGCCTGTCCAGACCAGGGTGTGGGGCGTCACCATGGGCTCCCACGCAAGGAACCCTCCTGGCCGTGCCGACCCTTCAAAGGGCCAGACCACCGAAGCACCCTCCCCTGTAAGTCTGAGTGCTCCTCTCGAACGTCGGAAAAGACTTCCTCGCTTTCGTCAAGCACGAGCGCCTGCGCACTAGGCGCGGGTGGCGTGCTGTCCCCCAAGCACCACGAGGCGGCGCGAGGGCTGGCCAAGTAGGAGCGCACAAAATGTGACAAGGAGGGCGTATGGTGTAAGGACCACCCAGTAACCCCCCCCGCCCCCGCTCGGGCCAGACTTGCTTGAGGGGAGGAGGAGGAGGGGGAGGAGGAGGAGGAGGAGGAGGAGGAGGAGGAGGAGGAGGAGGAGGAGGAGGAGGGGGAGGAGGGAGGAGGAGGTAGGAGGAGGAGGAGGAGGAGGAGGAGGAGGAGGAGGAGGAGGAGGAGGAGGTGGGGGAGGAGGGAGGAGGAGGAGGAGGAGGAGGATGAGGAGGAGGAGGAGAGGAGGAGGGAGGAGGAGGAGGGGAGGAGGAGGAGGAGGAGGAGGAGGAGGAGGAGGAGGAGGAGGAGGGGGAGGAGGAGGAGGAGGGAGGAGGAGGAGGAGTAGGAGGAGGAGGAGGAGGAGGAGGAGGAGGCGGAGGAGGAGGAGGAGGCGGAGAGTGGAGGAGGAGGAGGAGGAGGAGGGGAGGAGGAGGAGGAGGAGGAGGAGGATGGAGGAGGAGGAGGAGGAGGAGGCGGAGGAGGAGGAGGAGGAGGAGGAAGAGGGGGAGGAGGCCGCCGGCAGAGCGCGGCCTCGAGCTCCCCGTGCGACACCTCCGAGGGCACCGCCACCAGCAGCAGGGCGCTGGTCCTGGGCCGCCGGGGCGCCGGCCAGGGGCACGAGCCCACTCCACCGGCAGGAAACACAATACAACACGTTCATCTCTTCGGGACACTCCTCCTCCTCCTCTCCTCCTCCTCATCCTCCTCCTCCTCCTCTCCTCCTTCTTCTTCTTTCTTCCTCCCTCCTCCTTCCTCCTCTCCTGCTTCTCTCTTCTTCTTTCCTCTTCCTCTCCTCCCCTCTTCTCTTCCTCCTCTCCTCCTCCTCCCCCTCTCCTCACCTCCTCCTCCTCCTCCTCCTCCTCCTCCTCTCCTCCTCCTCTCCCTCATCCTCCATTCCTCCCAATCAACACTCCACGGAAGGAAACACAGGCGATTCCGGAAACCTGAACCCAAAAACGTGTTCATCTCTTTGGGGCGCATGTTTATTTCCGCCGCCTTCTGCCGAGCTTCCGCCGGCTGCCGCCAGCGGAGGCGGCCCTGTTTCACTTCCGCTGACCTTCCCGCCTTCTGCCGAGCTTCCGCCGGCTGCCGCCAGCGGAGGCGGCCCTGTTTCACTTCCGCTGACCTTCCCGCCTTCTGCCGAGCTTCCGCCGGCTGCCGCCAGCGGAGGCGGCCCTGTTTCACTTCCGCTGACCTTCCGCCACCCTTCTGCCGCGGAAGAGATGGCAATTCCTTCGATCCTCGAAGGCAAGGCCATTTCTGGAACGCCTCACATGACGATCTCAAGCCTGTGATTGGGGCACAGTGGAGGCCCAGTCACAAGAAACCTTCCGCAAGAAGCCCAGCCCTGAGACACCAGGACGGCCACGGATTGCCATCGAAACCCGAGAGACCCAGGGCACCCTGGAGGCAAGCGGGGTGTTTCTTGGCATGGGCCCCCACTGTACAACACATGACGATCTCAAGCCTGTGATTGGGAGAGTTCGTTTTCCCAGGCGCTCTAGGTGAGCTTCTGGCGACCACGTCGCGTCTTTCGATTGGCCTGGGTTAAAGTGGCCATGGCCCTCCCTCCTGCCAGCGCGCGCGCGCAGGAGCGAGGAAGGGAGGGGAGAGGAAAGACCTGCCTGACTGACTCGCTCCACTTCGAGGGGCCGGCGACAGACACAGGAGAAGCTGGGGCCAAGCACTGGTTTCCAGGGTCCCAAATGCGCCCTCGCCCCCCTCTGACAAGGATGGGGGCGCCTCCTCCTCCTACTCCTCCTCCTCCTCCTCTTCCTCCTCCCCGTCCTCCTCCTCCTCTTCCTTCTACTCCTCGGGTCTTTTGCGGCCCACACCGTGGCCCGATAGGATGCCCCTGTTCGATCGATCCATCCACACTTCTCCCAAGCACGGCCGCCTCTGCCCTGAAGACCACTGCGACATGCGCAAATTGGCTTCTCGCCCTGTCTCTGTCCGTCGCTGCCTCTGTCAGTGTGTCTGCGTCTGGTGTCTCTCTGACTGTCTGTCGGTCTGTCTGTCTGTTTGCCTGTCTGTCGGTCTGTCTGTCGGTCGGTCTGTCTGTCTGTCTGTCTGTCTGTCTGTCTGTCTGTCTGTCTGTCTCTGTCTGTCCGTCCATCCGTCCGTCCGTCCGTCCGTCTCTGTCTGTCTGTCTGTCTGTCTGTCTGTCTCTCTCTCTCTCTCTCACAGTAAATTTCTCAATCTCCCTGTCTCGGAGGAACTTCCTCATAACTTCCCAGGAGCCGCCGCGGCGTCGACATAGTCGAGCAGGGGGCAGGCGCTGAAGCGTCGGTTTTCCAAACACAGATACGCATATCATTATCATCCGTTGCCGTCCCAGCAGACCTATTAGCTGTATAGTCGTTGCGCTCTCGCGCGAAGCGCCGTGCACTGGGGCGACAACCTGTGCGGTGTGTGTGTGTGTGTGGTTTGATGTGGTGCGATTTCTGGGGCCCCTGCCCAGAAAAAACACCACATCAAACCAGTAAACCTTCACATTGCATGGGGGTACGATTGTATGTGCGCCAGTGGTCGTCTTGTCACACATCTAGTGGCATGGAGCACTTCAAACCCCACCTTCCAGGTGCTTTGACGCACATCAAGAAAGCATGGGCGGCTTCTCGAACTGTGCGAGGGAGTCCAGAGCTCGCGCCAGCAAGTGCAACGCCCGACCGGCGGAGAACTCGCGGAGGGCCAGCTGTCGACACCTTCATCGCTGAGTCTCTCTACGCTTAGGTCGGGCATGTCCTCCTACAGGCGGGTATTGGACGAAAAATAAAAATAGTCAAATCATATGCAGAACATGTGCAAGAATAGTCAAACATCGTCCCCTTTATTATCTTTTGACTATTTTTGAATCTTCCTCCTGTAGAGGGACGTGCCCGACTTAACCCCACGCGCCTGCCTATCCCTGCGTGTCCTCTGGATGGGCAGCGCGTCCTCCAGCCTCGGGGCACGTGCCGACTGCGATCAAGTTTGACTGCGGAGGTGACCGCGACAAAAGCTGCATGGAGATCGCGAGCTGCCGATCGCAACCCGGTCGCCTGGCACACTCGTTCGTGGCAGACTCGGCGGCCGCGCGAGTCGGTCGGGCCTGGCAGAGATGCTGCAGAGCTGCACTGCGCACAAAAGGGAACGAGGAAGAAGCACAAAAGGGAGCGAGGAAGAGGGAACAGAGGGAACGAGGAGAAAGGGGAACAGGAAGGCGGCCCCCGCAGCCGCCACCGTGCCTCTGGACGTGGAGGGGGCCCGTCCCTGGGTTCTCTGCCTGATCCTCGAAGCTTCGATCCTCGAAGCCTCAAGGGCTTTTTGCCCGATCCTCGAGGGCCTTTGGCCCGATCCTCGATCCTCGAAGCTTCGAAGCCTCGAAGCCTCGAAGCCTCGATCCTCGATCCTGACCCTCGAGGGCTTTCTGCCCAATCCTCGAGGCTTCGATCCTCCCTCCCGCAGGGGCCTTTCAAGCGGGGCCCGGGGCCCCCAAAAGTGCCGACCTCCGGCGGGGCTTGGCGCGTGCCCCCGGGCGTGTCTCGCGCGCCCCCCGGGGCTCGGGGAGGCGGCGGCGAGTGACTTTTTCCCAACCATCCTGTGGTGTTGGGTCCTCGTTTTGAAGAGACGGTGCCCCGCGTCTCCTTCCTCCTTCCTCCTCCGCCTCCTCTCCCCTCCTCCTCCTCACACCCCTCACACGTTTCGTGGCCCCAAAGGGAGCTCCACCGAAGGCCCCAGTGCTGCCGTCCGCATGCGTCCCGCACACCCATTTCGGCACACCCCTCACACGTTTCGTGGCCCCATAGGGAGCTCCACCGAAGGCCCCAGTGCTGCCGTCCGCATGCGTCCCGCACACCCATTTCGGCACACCCCTCACACGTTTCGTGGCCCCACAGGGAGCTCCACCGAAGGCCCCATGCTGCCGTCCGCATGCGTCCCGCACACCCATTTCGGCACACCCCTCACACGTTTCGTGGCCCCATAGGGAGCTCCACCGAAGGCCCCATGGCTGCGTCCGCATGCCTCCCCACCACCCATTTCGGCACACCCCTCACACGTTTCGTGGCCCCATAGGGAGCTCCACCGAAGGCCCCAGTGGCTCCGTCCGCATGCGTCCCGCACACCCATTTCGGCACACCCCTCACACGTTTCGTGGCCCCATAGGGAGCTCCACCGAAGGCCCCATGGCTGCCGTCCGCATGCGTCCCGCACGCCCATTTCGGCGCACCCCTCACACGTTTCGTGGCCCCATAGGGAGCTCCACCGAAGGCCCCAGTGCTGCCGTCCGCATGCGTCCCGCACACCCATTTCGGCACACCCCTCACACGTTTCGTGGCCCCATAGGGAGCTCCACCGAAGGCCCCATGGCTGCCGTCCGCATGCGTCCCGCACACCCATTTCGGCACACCCCTCACACGTTTCGTGGCCCCATAGGGAGCTCCACCGAAGGCCCCATGGCTGCCGTCCGCATGCGTCCCGCACACCCATTTCGGCACACCCCTCTCACGTTTCGTGGCCCCACAGGGAGCTCCACCGAAGGCCCCAGTGCTGCCGTCCGCATGCGTCCCGCACACCCATTTCGGCACACCCCTCACACGTTTCGTGGCCCCATGGGAGCTCCACCGAAGGCCCCAGTGCTGCCGTCCGCATGCGTCCCGCACACCCATTTCGGCACACCCCTCACACGTTTCGTGGCCCCACAGGGAGCTCCACCGAAGGCCACATGGCTGCCGTCCGCATGCGTCCCGCACACCCATTTCGGCACACCCCTCACACGTTTCGTGGCTCCACAGGGAGCTCCACCGAAGGCCCCAGTGCTGACGTCCGCATGCGTCCCGCACACCCATTTCGGCACACCCCTCACACGTTTCGTGGCCCCACAGGGAGCTCCACCGAAGGCCCCATGGCTGCCGTCCGCATGCGTCCCGCACACCCATTTCGGCACACCCCTCACACGTTTCGTGGCCCCACAGGGAGCTCCACCGAAGGCCCCAGTGCTGCCGTCCGCATGCGTCCCGCACACCCATTTCGGCACACCCCTCACACGTTTCGTGGCCCCATAGGGAGCTCCACCGAAGGCCCCATGGCTGCCGTCCGCAAGCGTCCCGCACACCCATTTCGGCACACCCCTCACACGTTTCGTGGCCCCATAGGGAGCTCCACCGAAGGCCCCATGGCTGCCGTCCGCATGCGTCCCGCACACCCATTTCGGCACACCCCTCACACGTTTCGTGGCCCCACAGGGAGCTCCACCGAAGGCCCCATTGATGCCGTCCGCATGCGTCCCGCACACCCATTTCGGCACACCCCTCACACGTTTCGTGGCCCCATAGGGAGCTCCACGCGGCCCCAGTGCTGCTGCCGCATGCGTCCCGCACACCAGGTGTGTGGCGTGCCGACATGGGCGTCGCGGCGCGCGGGCGCTGCCGTCGGGCTTCCCAGGGAAGCCCCCTGCAGAGGCGACGCTCAGAGTCACGAGTACCGAGAGTCACGCAGACCCAACTGTTCACAGTCGTATACATACATTTACACTGGGCGTATCCATGCACGCATTCATGCGAATAGAATCAATCGCGCGCAGATTCATTCATAATCAGACTCGCTCGCGATCCGACTCGCACGCGCTCA